CCTCAGCCTCCTGAGTGCTAGGATTACAGGTGTGCGCCACCACACCCGGCAGCATTTATAGTTTTTGTCTTTGGATGACAGTGACCCTGACTGGAATGAGATGGAATCTCAGTGTAGTTGCCATTTGCATTTTGTTAGTGGCTGATGATATCATACTTTTTTCATATATTTATTGTCATTTGTACTTCTTTTGAGGAATGTTTTATCAGTTCATTTGCACATTTATTATTGGGCTATCTGATTTTTTTGGTGTTAAATTTTTAAATTTCTCTATATATTCTGAATATAAATCCTCTGTTGGAAGATTTTCTCCCATTTGGTAGTTCTCTTTACTGTCAGCTGGTTTTCTTGTTTTGCAGAAACTTTTAAATTTGACACAGTCCTATTTATTGATTCTTACTAATATTTCCTGTGCTATTGGAGTCCTAGTTAGGAAGTGTTTGTGTGCCTATGACTTCAAGTGTTTCCTCTATGTTTTCTTCTAGCAGTTTTACAATTTCAGGTTTCAGACCTAGGGCTTTTGGTTCTTTCTGCTGTCATTTTTGTTTTTGTTTTTTTTGAGCAGAGTTTTGCCATGTGGTCCAGGCTGGCCTCACACTCACTATGTAGCTCAGGCTGGCACCCAACTTGTGGCAATCCTCCTGCCTCAGCCTTCCAAGTGGTGGGATTCCAGGCATGCACCATTACACCTGGCCTTCATTTTGAATTGATTTTTGTACAGGGCGAGATATAAGGATAGAGTTTCAGTCTTCTGCAAGTGGAAATCCAGTTTTTCCAGCATCATTTTTAAAAGAGGCTATCATTTTTCCAAGGCATATTTTTGGCTTCTTTGTTCAGAGTCAGATGGTTGTAGTTGTGTGGGTTTGCTTCTGTATCTTCTGTTCTGTTTCAGTGGCCTGTATGTCTATTTTTGTGCCAGTACCATGCTGTGTTTGTTACAATGGCTTTGTAGTATAGTTTGAAACAAGGTATTGAACAGCCTTGTTCTTTTTGCTTGACTATTTTGGAACTTGTGTTTCCACAAGAATTTTAGGATTGTTTTTTCCTAGTTCTGAGAAGACTGTTGGTATTTTGATGAGGATTGAGTAGAATCTGTAGATTGCTTTTTGTAATGTGGCCATTGAAAAACTATTAAATTTGCCTATCCATGAACCTGGGGGGTCTTTCCATTTTGTAGCATCTTCTTCAATTTCTTTCTTCAGTGTTTTGAAAAGTTTTACTGTAGAGAATTTTCACCTCCTTGGTTAGATCGATCCCTAGATTTTCTTAAAAAAAACTATTGTGAATGGAATTATATTCCTGATTTATTTCTCAGCTAGTCCATTATTGATATATAGAAAAACTATTGATTTTCTAACATTGATTTTTATATTCTGGAATGTTTGCTTCTTGTGGAAAATTGAGAATACATCAAAGTTACAAATAAAATCCCTTATAAGGCTATTTTCTAATGGCAACCATTATTGGCACTTGCTGTATTTCTTTCTTTCTTTCTTTCTTTTTTTTTTTTTTGCACATTTTACTTGCTAAAATTCAACATTAACTGTTTTATTGCATAAACTATAGATGTTCATTATAGAAAAAAGTAAAAAATTTAAATATGTCACAGAATTAGAAATCCGCCATGGTCTCATTATTTTGAAACTATCTCTAATTATGTTTTGATATGTTTCCTTTAAGACAGTTAAATCTGCATATTGATTATATTTTTTGTGAAATAGATTTATACAGTAACAGTCTATGGTAAAATCAAATTTTTTCACTTTACATGTTGGAAGCATTTTTCCCATATCAGGAAATAGGAGTATTTATTTGGATATAATGGCATACGCCTGTAATCCCAATTGCTCAAGAGGCTGAGGCAAGAGGATCTCAAGTTCCAGGCCAGCCTGGGCAAGTTAGTGAGACTTTGAGCTGGGCATGGTGGCGCACGCCTGTAATTCCAGAAGTTGGGAGGCTGAGACAGGAGGATTGTTGGGAGTTCAAAGCCAGCTTGGGCTACAAAGTGAGCTCAAGGCCAGCCTGAACTGCATAGGGGAACCCTGCCTCAAAGAAAGAGTTGACAGTGTGGCTTAGTGATAGGATGGGTACCACTCTTAGGGGTAATGCCTAGCATGGGTGAGGCCCTGGGTTCAAGCTCTGGTACTACCCCCCAATATATATAATGTATAATATTATATATGCTATATATTTATATAATTAATGTTTCTCTAATATTATTTTAATGGTTGTACATATTCCATAGTATGAATGTGCCATAACCTATTTACCTGATTCCTTAAGATTAGACACAAAATAGCTTAAACTTTCTGGGTGGATTACAAACTTTTTAATCCTAAACAGAATTGCTCCACTCAATTTTTTTTTTTTTTTGTAGTGCTGGAGATGGAGCCCAAGGCCCCTCTACATGATCCACAAGTGGTCTCCCGTTGAGCACCAGCCCCAGTCCCGATCATATATTCTTCATCTCCTTAATATGTGCTATTTGATGATGCTTCATTCTTAAACTTAACTTTTACAAAGATGCTTTTTTTTTTTTTTTTTTGCCTTTTTGAGACAGGGTCTCGCTATGCAGTTCAGGCTGGCCTTGAGCTCACTTTGTAGCCCAGGCTGTTCTCGAACTTGCAATGATCCTCCTGCCTCAGCCTCCCTAGTGCTGGGATTACAGGCGTGCGCCACCACGCCTGGCACAAAGATGCATTTTAATAGAGTCACATAGTTGACCTGCTTGGCGTTTTTAGTGGCTCTATAATATTCTATACAATTGATGTATTATAGACTATTTAGCTACGATGTAGTCAAAATGGCACATCAGAAATTGCTATTTCCAGCAAGGAATGTTGCCGTGAATACTGAACAATGGAGCAGGTGGCTCTTGTTTGTGTTTTTTATATTTTTCTACATTGATAGTAACAAACACTTTCTGCATTCACGACACTGTCCAAGAAGAGGCTGAGATAACAAGCCCGCAGGGTCCCTCGCTCCAAGCTCCTCTGCCCTGGGGTGGGCAGGATCACGTTCCTCTGCCTGGAGAGACGGGCTCCCTGCGCAGCTCCGCCGGGGGAGGAATCCCTGTGCATTTCTGACAGGCTAACTCACTTTTCACGGCTTCGGTTCTCTGGAAAACTATTTTAGAGAATGTTTGGTGAACTGACTCTGTATGTTTTCACGTTGTGAAGATTTACTCTGTAAGAATATTATTTCACCTGTATTTAGAGAAAGTTGCTTGTTTTGGCAACTTCTCTTTTCTTACGAGGGTTCACACTTGCTGGATTCCATGTTCAGAGATGCCGTGGGCCAAGCTCCATGCTGGGTAAGTTCATACCTAAAGACTGTAAATTTCTGAATGGACTCCTAGATGGAAATATAGCTTACTTCTGCTCACTGCCCTTGCCTTACACATTAGTTCCAAAATGTTTTAAATGCTTACAGTCACAGATTGAAACTGCTGATAGCAGTGAAGGAGTTCAGATGAATTCAGAAAAAAAAAAAAAAAAAAAAAAAA